TATAGATGGCATTTGGACCCTCAAAAATTGTCTTGCATGTATCCGAATTTGCAACCAAAATGTTGGAGATGTGGTAGTATGGATGCTACTTATTATCATATTTGGTGGACATGTAGGGATGTTAAAGCCTTTTGGATAAAGATTTGGTAGAATATTCAACAGATTTTTAAGAAAAAGATAAAATTTACACCGCAGTTATTTTTATTGGGTATTATGGACAATTTGGATCAAAAAGAAATGAAACTGATGTTGTATTGTATAACAGCAGCAAGGATTTTAGTTGCTCAAAATTGGAAAAAAAAGATGTTACCAACTATGGACGATTGGAGACAGAAAGTATCGTATTTTGCAGAAATGGCAAAAATATCCGCGTACCTGAAGGACCATTCTCAGGAAAAATTTATCGCAATGTGGAGGAGATGGATAGATTATATTCAGAGAAAGTATGAATTGAAAAATTATTATGTAGCTTTTGATTAAAAATTCTGAACAAAAATATGTATATCAAATATTGATATATTTTAAAAAATCTTATATGTATTTTAATGTTATTTTAGAGTCACAGCAAGTATATACTAGTGTGTAGTAATAATGAGTAGTTTTGAATAGATTTGGATTATTGTGCGTTTATTTCCTAGATTAGCTTTGGGAAGTCCTGGGGGGGGCGGGGGGAAAGGGGTAGGTTTGTATTATAGATTTATATGTATGATTTTCTAAGGAGGTGCCCAGTGATGCCCCAACTGCACAAGATGGGATGGTTGAGTGAGGAAGGGAGGTAGGAAAGAGGGAGGAAGGAGGAGTGGTGGTAGGTTGGGAGGAGGAAGGTGTGGTAAGTGGAAGAGGGTGGTGCAGGAGGGGGGACACCGGACACGCCCGTGAATGTATTGATTAGTGTTAATTTCTTTGGTTGATATTGTGATAAAAGATGTATGTTTTTGTTTTTAAATGAAAAATTAATAAAAATTTATTTTTTTAAAAAAAAAAGATTGAAAAGCTTTTAAGGACATTATCAACTCTATTGGTTTATTTAATTCTGGTTGCCCTTTCATTCCAACAAAATGAATTATAATTAATTTTCTCAACTGCAGGAGTGTTTATTCCCTATTTCCATTCTACATTTATGGAAGCGCATTACTTTTTTTTTTTTTTTACAACATTGGGATTATATGGCGGTATTGTAGAAATGTAATTCCACCACTTCAGTAAATCCATAATCTCTAATTGCAAAGAGGTTCCCAGTAGTTAAGGTTCATAGATAATTCTAAGAGATGGCAAAGTATAAGGACATTCCTCCAAATTATTGTTTATTCTCCAACTACAAGATGAATTTTACATTAAATGCATTACACATTTCAGTTTTTACTTTATGTTGCTATATTTTGAATTATATTAAAATGTGTTCAAAATTAAGGAGCTTTAGGAGCTTTCCTGCATTAGATATTGACAGAAGATCAACCCTTCTAGTCCTTAGATCATTCAGATCTAAGATCATTCAGAAGATCTACCCTTCTAGTCCTTAGGCAATGATTTGGGCAACCAGGTCTTGCAGGAAGCACCAAATCTTCCTCCTTCATCTGCCATAGTCCTGCTGTAATATATTGCTATTGGAACCTTTATAACACAGCATTGCCATCACCACCCATCCACTTTAGGGAGGTGACCAGACCAAGCTGGTTTACCAGTGGCCTTTTCCTACACCCAGTGAAGAGACAAAACAGGTCCCTGTATTTAAAGGAAGGTGAGAGTAGATATGTCATTCCTGAACCAATCCTTAAAGCTATGTCATGCTTCTACTTTGATCTCCAAAACTGACATTACTTTGGAGTATGGGAAGGACATGTAGGAACATGAATGGTCTGTGGAGAAGTTGAGAAACATACTTTCTCAAGGAAGAAATTCTAGTTTTGTCAACAACCAACAGTAGCCCAGCTTCCGGGAAGAAAAGAGTAAGACAAGAGTCTGTCAAACTGTAGCAAGCCAGGATAAAGAATCCCAGAATAAAGAAAGAGAGGGGCAAACATGCTGATTGATGGCAATTAACTGTTTTAAGAGGCTCTATCTTATTATTCCACTAATAAATTTTTTCCATCCATGTCATGTTTTGCACCTGAGCCCAAATCTTGTCAAGACAGACCAAACTGAGAATTTGGAAATATCTCCTGATTTCCTGTCAGTACGTTTGATAGCAGCATCAGACTGCAATTCCTTGAAGCAGCAATATCTTTTCCTAATACTATTCTCAACAGCTCATCATTTTCAGAATATTCATTTTCTGATCTATAAAGACAACACATTTTATTAGCCATAAAGTACATATCATAGACATGAGAGTTGGATCAACATGATATTATAGTGGAAGGAACTTAAATAATTACACCAAGGACTGTTGCTCCTTGAAGTGACACATTTATTTATTTATTTATTTATTTAATTTTTATCCCGCCCTTCTCCTTACGGACTCAGGGCGACTGACAGCCTTATAAAACAGATACAACAATAAAAATAAAAAACATCTTCTACAGTGCTTACCAAAGAAGGTGAGCCCAATCTGTAGAGAAGGTGCTATTTGCTTACTGCAAACTGCTCACCCAAAGCCTTGTGTGAAGACACTTTTTTGAGCCAGGGGGCTCTGACATTTGCTTTGGGCCATGTCAAAGCTGCCCATCTGAAAGCATTTCAGATAATGCTAAGAGAGAAAGCTGAGAGGAGCCCACAGTATTGGTCTAAAGTCTTTCAAGAACCCTCAAATTACTTCATCAAATGATTGTTGGTTGCTTTTTTCCCCCACTGGCAGGTAATGTGGGATGGAAGGAAATGCAGGTAAGGGGATTGACTAATTGTCCAATAATCTGGATTATTCCAGATTCAAGTGTGAAGGGCAGCACCAGTTGCCTGCCTTCTCACTGAGGCAGAACAGGGTCAGAGATAGGCCTCTGCCGAGGGTACCCACAACATTAAAATAATGGGTGTGATGGAATGATCAAACCTCTGTCCTTTTTAAAACATGCATTCAATGGATGTAAGAAGGAATCAGCAAAGGAAAATATTTGTAGCTCAGGGTTCAGATGAGGGGTCTTTGGTGCTCTCTGAACTTGATTGTTTTCTTGTAGACATTTTATTACTAGGTAACATCACCATTGTTAGTAGTGGAAGTGTGCCTGCAGGCAATTTTTTTTCTATTTGTGTGCTTTCTGAAGTGTTTGATGCCCATATGTGGTACCAATAAAGGAGAATATTTGTAACTCATGATTGAAAAGAGGTGTCCTTGGTGTTCCCTAAGCTTGGTTGTTTTCTTGCAGATACTTCATTACCCAAACTGGATAACATCATCAGTGCTACCAGTACTGCTGAGTAGCACTGATAATGTTACCTAGTTTGGGTAATGAAACACCTGCAAGAAAACAACCAAGCTCAGAGAGCACCAAGGACCCCCTCAAGAAGGAATCAGACTTCAGTCTCTTTAGTCACATCCACCATTTGATTTTGTTAGTGCCTATGGATACCCCTAAGCTAAGCCATCAGGGCAATGCCATTTATGTCAGCATACGTATCTCCTGATTCAAGAATTGAAGGAATGAAAGCTAATATGATCATGAGGAAGAGTCCTAACTCTAACAAAATTGTATATGATGTGATAGTTATCTGCTGAAAAAGCATCAGGGACATTGCATAAGGGATCTCACATCAGGGACTTTCACTTGTCAAAAATGAAAAGAAAACAGGATATTTTGCATCTTGCAAGAATAATTTGCTTTTTTATTAAAGCAAAAACAAAAAACCCAACTCCATGCACCATAACAAGATTAATTATTTAATCTCTCTTGTATTTATATGCATACGTCCAGAAACCTGGGAGTGGGTGAGTGGTGGTTCTCACCATTGGGAAACTGACATGTCCGCAAACTTTCCAAACATCATGGACTAAAAAGGAAAATTGCTTCATCCAGAGTTTGAGATATATCCCTGCTCTGCCAGAAATACATCGATTCATCTAACCAACAGAAGCAATAGCAAGGGTCTACACAGTTGGAGCACTGATGCAAAGAGTGCATAAGCATCACCCTGAGGATTCTCTGTCTCCCCCTCAGGCAGGCGATGAGAAGAATTTGACACAGCAGAAAAATGCTGTCAGAACATGTTTGGACTATAGTTTCTAGCAAATAGCAAATGAATCATTATGGTGGTAATGGTCCGTTCAGATGAGACTGAAAAATATTCTTAGGGTTTTTTCTTTCTGTTACATTCATTCCCCATTTCTTTTGGCATTCAGTTCAAATATTAAGTTGCTCTCTTTTCAGGCAAAAATGTTTTCTAAATTGCTTTCACAGTAATTTGTTTCCTCCCTCTTTCTGGGAACCTCACTGCTTTGGGGGTTTCCCCCATGAGCAAAAAAATATGAAATAAGGGGATAGAAGACAAGTTTTAAATTACCGAATCATTTTTTTTAAAAAAAAGACCAAATATTTTCTTAGCTAACTAAGGTTTTGAATTCATAGCAGCAGCAGCAGCAGCACAGTGCACAAAACTTGGAAGTGAGCAGATAACTCCTGAAATCAGTCCAAACCAGGGTAAAAGAGAAAACTTCACTTGATCTGCTATAGTTTCTGCCACAAAACTGAGATTTAGGATTATATTCTAGGCAAAGTGAATTAATTCGGACTGTAAGTAGAATTCAATTTCTAGAATCTCTGCTTTTGAGACTAGCAAAAACTAAGCTATAGACCTTTGACTATACCTCAGCTTGGAATCATATAATCTTTTAATCATCATATAATCTTTTTTTTTTTACAACTTTACAGTATCTGTGAAGATTAACATGAAACAAATGAAAATGCTGTGTCAGAGATATGTGCATAATACAAATGGGCTCATTAAAGCAAACAAGGTCAAAGATCACTGAGATTCCCTCCTCTCCAGGGAGCTGAAATCAAGCAGGCTCAGACTCGTAGTGCAACTATACATTTCACAATCAGTGGACACAACTGTTTGGTTTAGCTCACCTGGAGTTGTCAGAAGCACTTTGGCATTGCAGGTTCTCAATACATGCAACAAAGATTTTAATCGGATGTTATAATTGATGCATGCCATGGTGCAGCCAATCTTCTCCAAGCCCATCCAGATCCAGATATAGGCAGGGATATTCTTCAAGAAAACAGCCAGCGTTTCCCCTTCTTTCAGCCTCACATAGTCCTTCAGTACTCTGGCCATTTGGTTGCTACGTCTGTCAATGTCCCGATAGGAATAAATTTCATCTTCAAAGAGAATGAAAGGCTTCTCTGGATGTTTCAGGACCTTGTCTAAAAAACAGTCCAAGAGGGTGAATGGTGGCTTATGCTGTAAACGCTTTTGGGACTTGTATCCTGTCCGCAAGAGAGAGAAAAAGAAGCGCAGGTCCAGCCAAAGATAAGGGAAAAAAATATTGGCCAGCAGAGGGAGAAGAAACAAGATCCCCAGCAAAATTGTATAAAAGTCAAGCATGTCTACACACTGGTCAGAGATCCAGCACTCTGAAAGCAACAGGCACACACTGGCAGTTGTACAGAATGAAAACAAATACCGTAGCAATGAAGGGAGAACCTTGCTCCTCCCCCTCCTCCTCCTCCTCCCTTGCAGGAATGTCTTTGGGTGCCTGCCAGTAACTTTTAACCCACATCAAATGCTTTCTTCTAGTTCATCTGCCCAGTGCTGGTGTGGTTCTACTCATCTGAAGGTTAAAATAAAGCCTGAATGAAAATGCCCTGAGTAATTAATGGAAATCTTAACAACTCACATGTATAATAGTTTTCCATATCTTCATCTCTCCAAAAATCCTGAATGCATTTCAAGCACAACATTACAAAAAATGTCATCCAGTTCCTCCTGCACATGACAAATAGTGAAAATGTTGTGGTTCCAAGAGATTTTGCTATCTATTATTTATTAATGCTAATTCAAATAATTTGTTTTGCAAAATACATGTGTTCTTTAAGGTAAAATACAGGTAGTTCATAATTAGGAACAGAATTTCCATTGCTAAGCAAGGTAGTTGTTAAGTTGTACCCAATTTTATGACCTTCTTTGCCACCATGGGTATGCAAATTGTTGCAATTGTTAAGTGAACCATGCAGTCATTAAGCGTATCCAGTTTATCCATTCATTTTGCTTGTTAAAAGCAGGCTGGGAAAGTCACAAATGGCAACCACATGAACCTGAGACATTGCAGACATCATAAATACATGCCAATTGCCAAGCATGCAAATTTTGATCATCTAACCATGGGGATGCTATGACAGTCATAAGTACAAGGACTGGGTGTAAGACATTTTACAGAAAAACAGAGGGAATTGACCTTGGAGATTCAACCTCTCTGCTCAAGCAGGAAAAATTTATACCATTTCAGGCAAATCAAAATTGGATGCAATATTCTAAATGTGGCCTTATCAAGACACTATAAAGTGGTACTGATATAGGTAATCCTCAACTTACAATCACAATTGAGCCCAAAATTTATGTCGCTATGTGGGTTATGTTGTTATGTTGTTGGGTGGGTTTTACCCCATTTTACAACCTTTCTTGCCACATTTGTTAAGCGAATCACTGCAGTTGATAAGTTAGTAACACAGTTTTTAAGTGAATCTGGCTTCCCCATTGACTCTGCCTGTCAGAAGTTTGTAAAAGGTGATCACATGACCCCCACGACACTGTGAGCAGCATAAATGTGAGTCAGTTGTTAAGCATCCAAATGAAAATCATGTGACCATGGGGATGTTGCAATGGTCATTGTGAAAAATGGTCACTTTTTTCAGTGCCATTGTAATTTCGAACAGTCATTAAGTGAACTTTTGTAAGTTCACCTATACTTCATGTGATCCTAATTCTATCCCTCTGTTAAGGCAGCCTAGGACTGCATTGGCTTTTTTGGCAGCTGCAGCACACTGCTGGCTCATATTTTAAGTGATTGTCTACTGGGACCAAGAATCTTCTCACATTTACTGTTATTGAGCAACATACCACTATTCTATATCTGTGTATTGATTTTTCCTGCCTAAATGTAGAGCCTTGCTTTTTTCACCATTGAATTTCATTTTTTTTATATAGGGCTCAGTGTTCAAATCTGCTGAGATCCTTCTGTATCTTTTTACCCTATCTTCTGGAGTATTGATTATTCTTGCCAGCTTGGTGTCATATACAAATTTGATGATTTCCCTTTCTATCCCCTTATCTAAATCATCGATAAAGACATTGAAGAGTACTGGGCCTAAGACAGAGACTTGGGGTACCCCTCTGCATACTTCCCTCCATGTAGACATAGTTCCATTAAGGATTACATATTAGTGCAGTTGGTCAGCTAGTTATGAATCCATCTGAGTTGGAAGCTGTTTAATCCACATTTTTCTATCTTAGTTGTAGGTTGTGGTCTACTTTATCAAATGCCTTCATGAAGTCTAAGTAATTATATCCACAGCATTTTGCTAGTTCACTAATTTTGTCACATTGTCAAAGAATGCACTAAGACTTGTCTGGCATGATCTGTTTCTCACAAACCCATGTTGGCTTCTGGTTATGACCTTACTTGCCTCTCGGTATTCACAGATTTGTTACTTGATTATCTTCTCCAGAATCTTCACAGGTATTGATGTCAGGCTGATAAGTATGTAGTTTCCTGGATCCATTTTTTTTCCTTTTTTGAAGATGAAAAACACATCAGCCCTTTTCCAGTCATCTGGAATTCCCCAGTGCTTAGGATCATTGAAAGATAGGGTCTAGTGTTTTTTTCCCCAGTGTTTTTGTAACTCGTTAAATGAATGGTTATAAATTGAGGACTACATGTATTGTCTTATAGTCCTCTATGGCTGAAATCTTTATGCTGTAATTTTAAGCCCTTTTTAAAGGTAAAATATTTTTTAGTTATTTATTATGGACATTTCTATCACACCATTCCAAAAAGTTCTAAATGGCATATGGAAGAAAGATTTAGAAAAACAACAGACAAACAATGTCTAAATTATCACAGCACAGTACACGGGGACAGACCTCAAATTTAATATTCCCTGCATACTGTCTCCTAAAGCAGCTTTTCATTTCTCTATGGAAGCTTGCTAGGGATACTGGTGGTCCATATGTACATATGTACATACATAGATCTATACATATGTTGCATATAGTATGTTTAAATGTGTGTTATGTATGTGTACTCTTTGAGACCAAGCAACTAAATTTCATTTTTAATGTGTGCCATTGTGCCCACAGTAAAAAATGACAATAAAGGTTATCTATCTATTTATCTATCTATCTATCTATCTATCTATCTATCTATCTATCTATCTATCTATCTATCTATCTATCTATCTATCTATCTATCTATCTATCTATCATATACGTGGTGGCACACTATTCCACAGAAGGAGTGACACTACTGAGAAAACCAAACTATGGGGTCCCTGAAGATGAAACTTAGAGATCTTACAGGATAGGCAGACTCATTCCAGGGGAAGTGATCAGATAATCAGGCCCTGAGCCATGCAAAGTTATAACCAGCCCCTTTAATTTCACCCAGAAGCCAATAGGCAGGTAGTGCAACACACACACCCCGCCCCGGAGTATCAAAGTTACATAGACAAATCTAGATATTGACATCGCAATTCAAATTACTGCATATTACCCCAGTTTAAGCTTTGGATAACATTCAAAGGCAGCACACGTAAATTTCAACTGGTGAAATGTCAGAGGCATGCATGAACATGTGCAATACTCCCACATCCACGAAAGCTTAACCAGCACCCACGATATAATTGTGAAATTTCGTTTCCCAGAAGCAGATGACAAATTGTTCCAACAATTATCATGTCAAATTAAACAGCAGTGGGTGCAGACTTTATATCACTTCAACGTTGTCAAACTGATGACAAAAATACACTGTCAGTCACTAGAGGGGCATATATTATTATTTTCATTATATAGATTATGTAATCATAGTCAAATGTGGCTCTAAGTTCATGCCTTGGTATGCTGGGCCCCAATGAAATACCAGGCCAAAATAATTTAATTTACAATTTATTGGGAATGTTCCAAGATAGAGGAATTCCCTTTTTACAAGAAAGAAAACGTGGAATATAGACTTACATTTCTTTTTATAGTTTGAGCAACCAAGATACTTCAGAGTAAAACTTGATTGGATTAGGAAAAGTCCTCCGTGAAATCCAATAATATATAAACATAAGAACTGAAAATTGCATTGTATTCTGAATAAAAAGAGCATTGTATTCTGAATAAAAGTAAAAGAAACATTTATCAGAGAAAAACATCAGAATGAGTAAGATTAAAAATACATCCAGAGTCCTTTTCCCAACACTGGGCTCAAATACTTGCTTTATTCAATGGAAAAAAAACAAGCTTACTTTATTTACAATGTATCAAACACTAAAAGAAAAGACTTTTTTTTACATTCTTCTTGAAGGTTAATGCTTATGGGAAATTATTTGAAAGGAATAATTTGAAATACTTTTGAAAGGAAAAGAGAAATAAGGCTAATTAAAATACAAAAAAAACCCATGTTAGTTAACCAATGAAATAGTACCTCAAAAACCATATTGCAAGTATTACAAAATCCATACTGTGTGGCACTCAGAAACTAGTCATGTATTCTGTGAGTGAAATATAAATATATAACTGTTATCTCTCCTATTAATGTTTCTCCTAGAAAGAAGTCAGGCTCCCTTAAAATAGCTCAGACTGTACAAAGACAGTACTCATTATCTGATGAATATGTGTGTGTGTTTTCCAGAACAGCTAAAGATGGAACAAAATTTTATTACACAGTCATCACTGAGGCAATTCCTAATAAAGGAAGTACCCTAAACAAAGGATAAGTATATAGAATTTTCAAATGGATATTAATTAACTGGTTAAAAGATAGTTTAACATACACTATTTAACAGTTTACCTTTAAGTTTAGGACATCCACATATTTGAGTGATTTGGGTGTTCCCCTACTTAGCTAGGAGGTTAACTGGTGCTTATCTCTCTGCACAGACTGGGGTAAGATGCTATAACCAAGAATGCACTTTATTGTTTTTTGTTTTTTTTTAATTGAAAATTTTATAAAAGTTTTACAATATAATTCCCCCCTCCCCAAAACTCACCCTTCCACTCCCCCCTCCCTCCCCCCCTTCCCAGAGCCAATCACAGGGTTAACAATACAATAATCATACTCTATCAAGCAGTAAAAGGAAATCAAACTGCCAAAGAACACGGTAGCTGGATACCATTAAACCGAATAGCAACCTGAGCATATAAAAACTCAAAGAAGTAGCGCAAGATCAGAAGATGCGGAGAGACCTGACCCATAAAATTGCCAAGACTCGGACATGACTGAATAGATGATATCATCATCATTTACATTAATTGAAAAGGCATATAATGGAGAATACATATCAAATTTATTTATACTTCTACCCAAAGGGGCTCTTCTACAATATTCTATAAAGAGCTGAAAGTTCACCTGAGTGGAGAAGCTGAGAAGCAGTTTGGACATCAAGCCC